AAGGATATACAGCAATTTCTCAGCTAGTTAATGCCCAATACTCTTTCCAAAGCACTTGGCGAGATTTTTGAGATGAGAAATAGTTCAGATCCAAATTCTTAAAAATTTGCTCGTATGTCTCTCCTTCTCGCAGTAAATGCTGGGCATTTCGAAAGGCTTGCTCTGTTCGTCTTCTCCATGATTATAAGCGTCGAAGTTACCCTCGTCTCCATTCTCCGGGCTTTTCTAGCTGAAGAGCTCAAGCCACCGAAAGTCAGCGAATCCTTATTTTTCTATGGTAATCTTCCATTTCTGTAGTTCTTTGTTGTTTCTGTACTCTTGGAGTCTGTTGGATCTCTTATTGTCCATTTGCCCTCTAGCTCTTCAGTGACATGGTGTGATTGTTAACAACATTTTTTTCTCTATTCTTTTTATTGTTAAGAAGATAAGATATTTTGATGTTTATGATTTTCTGCTTTGAAGTATATTTATTATTTTTGTTATCATGTTCATGATTTTCTGCAAAGATCACTTTTGGTGGCTCTTTTTTCAACTTCTTCAATAGAAGAAAAACTACAGATGAAGATTCTGCCCAATGAGTCTTTTGTAACCTGAATTTTGGATTTTCTTGATAGTTTAGTGGATATTTTAACACTTGAAAATGATCAATCTTCTTCATTCTTGTAAATAACTAATTTCTAGAATAGTTAAATAATCAAAGTATTATAAATCTAAAGAACTCACTATAAAGTTGAATCCTTATATTTATATATTTAGATTAATGACTTGCTCTCCAGGTATTGATAATGCAATATTAAATTTGATTTAGTTAGGCCAAATTGGATTCTAAGGATTCTTTCTCTTCTTCTTATTAGCTTGACGAAAGAGACATGATAATCAATGAATTGAATGCACACCCATATTTGTGTGTGTCAAATAAATGAAGTTATTTTTATAGTCTTAATCCGCTTAAACAAAGTCTCTTGCTAAGAACCAACTCGAAACTCACTTGAACGTCTCAAATTTGCCATAATTGCTAAGAACCAACTCGATTTTCATTATTGAAATTCTAAATTCACCAACAAAAACATTTGTCAATCAGGACTGAGAAGTTTTCGTCAATAGAATTTGCCAAGTTATGTTGCCAAATGAACTTGTCAAGGGAACTCTCCTTCATCGCACTTAGTTGCACTTTCTTCATTTGAGTAAAAATCATACTCCACAACATAATAAATACACGATCAGTTCATGTGTTTGCCTACTGTTAGCAAATTTGGTTGTCAAGAAAGCAAGTTCAGGCCTAATTAAGTTGCCTTGAAGCAAATCCAAAAGCTAAGATGCAGTTACTCCTTAAAGGATGAGAATAACCAAATAATATGAGAAATATAGAAAAGGCACTCGCAAGAAAATTACAAAATTATAAATGAGTTTATCACCATGAATCTCAATGATATAGCATTAACATTAAGTGTACATGCATGTTAAGTATTTGAGATTGTACATAGCCTTTATCTTTTCAGCTTAATCAATTTACTAGTCATTTTCGCATTTTGTTTACTCACAGACAATGGAGGTCAATCCAATTAATGATTGGGAATTGACAATTGCAAGTAACCCTGTTAATATTGTGGTTGTTGGGAAGGCTGGTAATGGCAAGAGTGCAACTGGCAACAGCATTCTTGGAAGGGAAGCTTTCATTTCTAAACTTAGCCCTTCAGGAGTAACATGTACTTCTGAACTACAAGGAACTATTTTGAATGATGGTCGTATTATCAATGTTATAGACACTCCAGGTAATGCCCATCTCTATATTGATCCATGAATATTCATTAAGTTCAAAAATTGCATATGCATTTTCATATCCTTGATTTTAGAATATTGTATGTATTCTATAACAACATGAATGCAAAAATTGTTTGGTATTATTTACCATGTAGAAAAATGACTGTGCTTTGAAGTTTGTCTTCACTTTGAAGGTAATGCCCATCTCTTTTTATATTTAATTTATTTATTTAAATAAATCAATTGAAACAAACAATCTCTGATAAAGGGATAAAAAAATAAGAGTGAGCCAAACTTAAAAAAATTATTACATGTTGAATTCATATTATAGTCTAGATGATGCTAAGTACAAGAGTATATAATTATGTAGTGATTTTTTTTTTCGTACAAAAATGTATTGTTGTAAACTCAATGTATTTTATTTGTTGGAGAGCTTCATAATCATGTGTACTCAAGATATAACAAGTACATAGCTATGCATTCTTATAATCCCCATGTAGAGCTATATATATATATATCATCAATACTTAATAAAATTCTCCTGGACTTGGCATTCCAATCACTTGACTAATTATTTTTTCCCAACTTCATAAAATAGGTTATTTGGGCCATCATTTAGGGGGATCACATTGTACAATGTTAACAACTAAGTTTAATGGTTAAGGTTTTATGGTTATGTATTAGAAACATCTCATTTTGATGATCTACCTTTTTGTTGTAGGATGACCTACTTATTTATTCATAGGAAGTTATCTACAACTCTCAATTCAATTTGCTTGTTTTGTCAATTTTTGCATAATTTGCTTAAATTTTTTTTCTAAATTGATAATTAATGTGTTCCTTAACATAGCTCCTATTTATCCCAACAATTTGATTGATAACAAAGCTCATGCTACGCCAATCTTATTCAAAGTTGAGTTCGATCAAAGTCCTTCAACTTTCACATCATTCGATCATGTATCTATGATTGGCTTTAATGAAGTACATTTTGTGTTATTGCTAGGGTTTGCTGACAATATAGCTCGATGAGGTAGGCATTAATCGGAGTCTGATACGTGTAAAAGAGAAGCAATATTTAGGATGATGCTCATTTGGGAAGGTCAACACTGGAACCTTTAGCATTTGTGGGGCTAAAAATCAATCTTCAAACTCAATTCAAATCTTACTTTGATGAGAATCATGTTCAAATTAATTAAACTTAAAATAAATTTGGTAAATATTTTATGAATATAAAAGATTATTTCTAATTACTTTGTTGACTACATAATATTATGTGACACAAATTGTCAAACCATCTATAACCAAATCCCCTTCCATAAACATGAGTTAATAAATTCTGAACTGAATCGATTACACTTTACTATGCCCTATATTCCTTAAACTCTTGTCTTCAGGATATTGCAATAATGAGAAATATTTTTATGATCATTATTTTAATATTGATTACCTCTGTTTAAGTGTGGTCATAAGCTCCTTCTATTCTAATCCTCAAAGACCATCATTAAAAGGAACAATAGCTTGACTTTTAAGTGGCGTTAGTATAGATGATCTAAACGTAGCAATAATATATTAATGTGATTGCGATGATTGCAGAATATACTAACAACCAATGGAACAATAATCTTCAAAGCAACAATATTTTCTATAAGACCTTGCTAATACATTCTCAAGTATATATCTGTGTAATACTTACTATATTAATAGTTAATAAGGTGAAAAGAAAATAAAAAGGTGAGTGTACTATAGTAAATAAAAAAAAGGAAATAAGAAGGAACAAAAGTAGTTGAGAGTTAATTAGTGGTATGGTGCTCTGTAGGGTTAATGTAGTCCATCAAGTTTCCTCGGAGCCCTCACCTAGGGAGGTGAATTCGATTGAAGCATCATCTGAAGAACGGTAATTGTAAATATCAACCATATTAAAGGTTGAACAAGGGCAAAAACTTGGTGTTAGGTCTACAACATATATATTCATTATTATTAATCTTATGAAGAATTGGAAATGCACCAATCTTTCGAAGACTAGGATTTTGAGTAGGTACCTAGCAAAAATCTTTCCTTACACACACAGCTTAGCGAGGTCCTCGGATTGAACACCTTAAGACATTTATGAAGATTAGCTTGCTGTTTATATTTGGAATTATGGCTTGTAATCTATCCTTAACACATTGGATGATGTCAATAAATTTGGATGCTATTTTAGTAGTTGAAGTGTTGCTGCATTTAGGAAGAATAGCTAGATCAATAAGATGATTTTGCATTTTTGTATAGACAATGTTAAAAGGGAAAGAAACTGCAAATTCAGCTTGACCAAGAAGTTCTTCCCATCATTTAGGTTGTTGTTGGACAAGGCAATGAAGCATGCTACCAATTGTTCGATTGACCACCTTTGTCTACCTTTCAGTTTGGTGGTGGTAGTCGGAGCTTAGATTAATGTTAGTGTTTAGTCTCTTCCAAAGCTCTTTTTAAAAGTGGCTGAAGAATTTCACATCATGGCTGGATGTAAGGCTGTGTGGTAGTTCATGCAAACAAACAATCTTGTTGAAGAAAAGATGGGTGATGTTGATAACGTTAAACATTTTTTTTTTGCAAGAAATAAAGTGTGTCATTTCAGAGAATCATGCAATAACAATCATAATTGAATCAGCTCATTACATAGTGCGAGGGAGGCCCAACACAAAGTCAAGACTTAAATCCTCCCAAATAGAATTGGAAATGAGAAGTAGAAGGTAGAGATTAATGTTTTGGGAATTACTTAAATCCTCCAATAATATTGAGCTTGTACCTGTTCTAATGTTTTGTCTCAATCAACATGAGCTGCTAAGCCCAAACTATGCATTTCTTTAATCAATTTTTGTCTCCAGGAAGATTCTGGTATACAAAGGTAGTTTCCTTTGAATAAGAAACCATGTTGTAGGTGAAGTTTTGATATGCAACCGCTCCATGGTTTTGTAAAATTAGAGTTCGAAGTATACGAATTTTGAAGTGCTTATAATCACGTAGTCTTTATTTGTAGTTGTGTCAGTAGTATAAGCATCTACTTAGAGCATATCCAAGATGGTTGGACCTCCTCGCCTTATGCTTAATTAGAAAGATGAACTTTGTAAGAACATAATCCGCCTTGTGTGCATGCGATTAATCTTTTTTTGATTGTTAATGTGTAACAAAGATTGGTCGTCACTACAAAGCACAAAGTCTTGGTGTAACAAGTAATGTTCCCGTTGCTTGAGGGCTCTAATTACAACGTATAATTTTTTCTCATAGGTGGACCATTTCTATCATGCTAGACTCAATTTTTTGTTGAAATATTCAATTGGCCTATCACTTTGAGATAAAGTAGCCCCTATAACAAAAATAGATGCATTTTTGTCCTCTTGAAATGACCTTTCAAAATAAGGTAGTGCAAGGACTGGAGCTGAACTTAGTGCTACTTCACAATTTTATAGCAGTTTTGTTGGGAATCAGTCCATATAAGCTTTGGAGATTTCGGGCAATCTATGATAGGGCCATAAGCACTAAACTTTTTTATAAACCTATGGTAGTAGTTGGCTAATCTATGAAAACTTTAGACTTAATACAACAATTGCAGTGTTGGCAATTCTAGGATCCTTGAGATCTTATGAGGATCTATATGAATATTGATGGAGGATAATATAAAACTTAGGAAATTCACATGAGTGATTGCAAACTCACATTTGGTGAGATTAAGAAATAACTTTTTATGGTGAAGGGCTTCTAGAATAAGTTTCAAATGTGCAATGTGGTCTTCAAATGAGGGACTAAAGCGCAATTTGTCGTCAAAATAAATTATGTCTTAATAACATTGCACATGAGCAACATAAAAGTGGATGGGGCATTGCAAAGGCTAAAAGACATTACTTTCCATTCATGCAAACCTTCACTTGTTTTGAAGGTAGCCTTTATCGTCAGGTCTTACACAAATGTGATGGTATCCACTCCTTAAGTCCAAATTTGAGAAAATGGATACACTAGCCAACTTATAAAGTAGGTCATTTATCCATAGAATTAGGAAATAATAATTAATAGTAATTTGATTTATAACACGACTATCAATGCACATTCTCCACTGACAATCTTTTTTTTTTGAACTATTTTTAAGGGGACCGCACAAGGACTTACGCTCATCTAAATATATTACATTCATATCAACTCATTCACAATTTATTGTACGATTGAATGCTGGGTACTCATGAAGTAGTGAGGTAAATCAAGGTTTAAAATTGCGTAATTAAGCCTCGAGGCGGTTTTCATCCGTGATGCGAGGCGTAAGCCTCGAGGCGGTCTGAGGCGTAAGC